TTAAGATACATCTTTTGATTGCAATTTGAATGAAAAATTCGCACAAATTATACTTTTAAGAATCGGAAAATTATGTGTATATAATCTATATGAAAATATTCATATAAATCGCACGATACCCACCGAAAAGTAATCAAACAATAAAAATATTAAAAAAAAGAGCAAGCAAGCCGTCACCCTCAATTCTTTCTCAATATTTTCACAAAGCACCAAAATATATATATATATATATATATATATATATACACACACCACAAGCTCACACTAGACTTGTTGTGATGATTGCAGCTATACTTGCTGTGATGTTTGTAATAGGAGCTATGAATAATGGCTCACGTGTATATATATATACATCCAAATGTATTCCCAACTCTAAAAAAAAAAAAAAAAACGTGTAGAACGGATGAGGGAAATCCAAATCTCTTTTAAAATCAAATTGTCAGCAAAAAAAGAGATATACATCATACAATTGAATCAATTGATTTGGAGATGATGAAATTTAAAATTAAAAAAAAAGATAAGGGATAAAAGATAAATTTCAAAAAAATTCAGAATATTAAATACCTAAAAAATTAAAGTGCACAAATTGGGTCCCTTTATAGTCCCTTAGCTCAAAAAGATGAGCCCACTGTCTCATAAAATCATATAGTGATTAAATACAATTTTTTAAATCCTAAATTCAAATAGAAAAATCTCAACACCAAATTCAAAAGGATCCTTTTAATTCCCCATAAGGTCATATACCAGGAAATTATCCAAATACAACTTTTAAATCCAAATTCTAAAGTAAAATTTCAAATCAAATTTAAAAACATCTTTGAATTCCTCATGTGGTCATATACCGGGGAATTCTCCAAAATCAAAATTCAAGTTCAAGAACTACGATTGACTTGATTCCCTATCGGATACATAGGCAACCTAAAATTTAGGTGTAGTTTCAAGACCAAATTCAATCCTAAAATTCTCAAAAAAGATAAATCAAAACAAAACTAAATCAAAGTTCAAAGTGCGTCAATTCCTCATAAGGTCATACATCGGAGAATTATCCAAAATTTTCAAACCCAAATTCGAACTACAAGTGGCTTGATTACTCAACGGGGTATGTAGGCAACTCGGCTAAATTCACCGAGTTCAGCCTCAATTTTAAAACAACCAAAATTTCCCAAATTCACAAAAAAATAGTATTTACTGTTTTAATTGGAATCAAAAGGTTTTCTCCTGTACCAAGAGATTGTAATAAAAAGGTTATTTTTATAATATTGAATGAGTCGAATTAAATATAATAAACTATTATGCTAATTAAATCCTAATATAGGTGAAATTATATTGTGTATAAGATATTATTTCAATGTTAATAAATATTTTTACCCAACACTTTCCAAATAGTTATTAGTTTTCTGTTTTGCTTTTGCATGTGCCTATCTCCACCAGTAATGTTATTAAAAATACAAATTCTGATATATACATATATATTCGTTGATTTGAGTTAAGATGTGACTTTATGTGAAATTTTTTTATTATAGTAAAAAAGTTAAATATGACTGTTTCTGAGAATTTTTTACTGTAACAAAACTGAAATTCTAAACTCAAATTTGTGAAATGAACGATACTTAAATTTACACTGTTTGAACTGAATTCAAGTACAAGGGATTGCAGCAGTGCACTACCATATACCCCTGGCCGTAATATGTCAGCAAAATAAATAAATAATTCAAACTAAATTAAAGTCCCCCTAAATCTCTTTCATGACTTCCCCAGCCTAATAAAATATGATTGTATTATGGGCATTGGGATTTTAGTATGCAGAAATAGTTTAGCAGTACGGGGTTGTGATGTGTCATTAAACTAGTGGTGGATTTTTGTCTCTTTGTGGTCATTTGACTGGTCAATGGTCAAACTAGTCAAAGATTAGTTAAACTTACAATTTGATCCTGAATTTTTTGGTGTTTACAGTTTAACCCCACAGTTTAAATTTGAATGGCAAAAAAAAAAAAAAAAAAAAAAAAAATCCTTCTTAATTTCTAAAATTAGAGCTTAAAATTTTGGGTGTTATAGAACCGGCAGGCAGCAGGGGACTTAATTTGAAGCAAAATTTGTGTACGACATAACTAGTAAAGAAAAAGAAAGTTATGTACGTAAATACGACATTAAACTTTAGCCTCCAACTACATTAATATTGTATCATATTTGTCAGTGACCTATATTACGTTGGGATGTACTTAATTATCTTTTTCTTTTTACTTCTTTTTTAGTCTATATCACGGTCACGAATCACGATACCAAAAAAGAAAAAAATATTTCAATCATGGTGGCTATGTATATATTTTATTTGAACATTTATATTATTTGAACATTGTTGTTATGATCTTCACTTTCGATATATATCCAGCCCGAATAAACAAAATTGATATTACTAGTGCTAGCTTAAGTTTTAGTTCAAAACAATATATTGGTTAATTGTTTGATCTTTTTATTTATTAATGATATGAAGAAAAATGTGTGAAAGGTTGGTGCAAATAACTGCATGCATATTGGTTGCCTCTCATATTGATCTACGTTAAATTATCTAAAAATAATGTAAAAAATTTCACGTGTTTATTCCTGATAGCTAGTGCGTATGCACCACCATGAAATATTTGGAAATCTGAATATATATATTGCACAATTGAACCAAGTTTTTTCAAGCAAAAAAATTGAACCAAGTTTTGCTTTGTATTGGCGTTTCATACTATTGCCTGTTTAAACCGATCATCAAAGAAGGTACCTAATAGAGTATGGTAATCCATACATAAGATTTGCCTCTTGTATCTCATTGTTTTTTTTTTTTCACGTCCTTCTATAAAACTATGTTACGTCAATTAAAATAATGTAATTTAAAGATCATCTGAATTAAAATATATTAATTCATGTGACATAATATTATTGGAAGAGCGCGATAAAAAAAAATGTTAATAAAATCTTATATGTGAGTTTCGGAATCCAAGTAGATCATCTACCGGGATGCAATAAGAGCAACGTAGAAAAGTAGTTGGATCAAAAAATGGTTGAATCAAGTCAATAAAGGATTGAACTGTTTTTTCCAGCTAAGTTAACTTGTATGCACAATAATATTAATGTTGTAGAGTAGTTGGAAGTGTGAATAAAGGCTCTAGCTACTCAGTTTACTAGTATTAACACTTGGATATTATCACTCTTGTGGTCCCAAAGTTCAAAGGATAAATTTTTTGGGGACCCAATAATGCAAGTTAGTTGACTCCCTTTTTAAAAAAGTAAGCACGAACTTCGTGAAAATGATAGCTAAGCTCATGCATTATTGATTTTGAGCACAACCCATATTGTGGTTTTCAAATGAAATTATTTCTAACCATCAGTCTTGATTATGCAGTCAAATAAGAACACTATGATGTAACCCATATTATTGGCTGTAAATTTTAAAGCTGGCTAGAGTAGTTGGTCTTCCGAACCGTCACCCAAATCTAATCCTAAAACCTACTAAAATCATTACATAGATTTGTAGTGTACGTGTGTGTATATATCATATATGTATGTGTATATGTATATGTAGCTTATTATGCTGAGACGTGGTGTATTGATGGAAGTGACTTTTTTTTGGTGAAGATCCATTTATGGTAATCACATGCCAAAATGGCGACTTATCACTTTTGCAGAGTCTCTTTCGTTATATCCTTGATGAGAAAGTGCTATATATTAATGAAAAGGAAATTAAGAGATATTAATCAAATTTCTTCTTGCGTTTATAAGAATTTCATTCAGATTTAAAGTCAAAACCTAAAACCATGCCTTTTACAAACTAACTAAATTGAGCTCATAAATTATACAGCCTCTTATTCTAAAGTTAGTGAAACACACACACACACACACACAGATGGCTGCAGGTACATATTATCTATAATGATACGTGACAAAGATTCAAGTCACTGTTAGAGAAACTATGATGAAGTTGGTAATTATTGCCGCAAAAGAAGTTAATAATCTGAATATATAGTACTGCATTTAATTCAAGCTTTTGTGAGGGTTAGAGAATGAAACAATTGGTTCTCTTTAATTTTCCAATTTGTTAAGCTTAGACACAGATGTTTATAACAACACAAACAGTGTTCTTCATAAGCTAATTGTATTGGAATCCTTTTATCATGGGCTGTACTTTCTCTAATATCCATTTGAGCTTTTTTTTTTTTTTTTTTTTTGTAAATAGGAACATTGGTGCCATCCCGTCTTCCATCTGTTAATTCAGGAATCTATTAATGGAACGAATAGAATATGATTCAATTCTACTCAAAAGATGAGTTCAGTTTCACTGTAAGAGCTCAACACCGTAACTGACAAGAATCTTAAAATAGGGATATGAACCCCAAGCTGCAAGGAGAAGAAAGTGAATCCTAACTGTTGTACCACCACCACTGGTGGTACCATTTGGCTGGTTTAGTATCCTCAATCGTTCTTATTAAGCTAAAGTACCTTAAAATTGCGTGACCATCCAATATTTGGGTTCATACAATATTTTCTCTATATCATCTTCCCATTCGCAACCCCTCACCCAACTATTGGCCATACATATGTTTCTCACTTGTCTCCATCTTCAAAGTTGTCTTTTCTGACATTTATGCATTGATTGAGGTACTTTCCTATTCGTCCAGTCCAGGAAAAATTAAGACCCTCGCCGAAATCTTGCTCTAACTATCACGGACTCACAACTACAATAAACAGCATTAACTTGATCAAACCTCAACAAGACAAAAACACTATGTGATGACATAAACTATGTTAATAATAATTAATGTTGATGACCACTAACTTGCTAATCGATCACGCTCTAGCTAAGAGCTATAGGTTGTCAAGGCCAATTTTGCAAGACCATATGACAATGCCATATAGGCAACAACCTGTACTTGCTCACTTGTGCCTCTAGTGGGGCCTACTTGCATTTTTCCTTCCAACAATGAGAAACCCCTAACCATTTAAGGCCTTCATTCTGGCCTAATGCCACACCAATTAGCTCATCTCCCTCTCCACACACTTCCTTTCTCTAACCAATTACCATGGCTAGCTCTTTGTTCATGGCTTCCTCGCTCAAAATTTTCAGTCTAGTCATGGTATTGGGAAGTTTTAGTACTCAGGCTGAGGCTCGGGCATTTTTTGTGTTCGGCGACTCGCTTGTGGACAACGGCAACAACAATTACCTCGCCACCACTGCCCGAGCAGACGCCCCTCCTTACGGCATTGACTATGCTCCTACTCATCGCCCCACTGGCCGTTTCTCTAATGGCTACAATATTCCTGACTTTATCAGTTGCGTTTTTTGTTTAATTATTATTATTTTTTCATAGTTTTCTTATTATTATACCATGAAGTTATAAACTTTTTTTTTTTTTTTTGGGGGGTGAGTTTATGCATGCAAATCGTAGGCAATAGTACTAATTGACATGTAATGTATGTTAATTCAGGTCAGGCAATTGGCTCAGAACCAACATTGCCATACTTGAGTCCACAGCTCACTGGACAGAGGATACTCAACGGTGCCAACTTTGCATCTGCTGGCATTGGGATTCTCAACGACACCGGCGTACAGTTTGTAAGTTAATTATTTCTTAGTAATGATAGTTTTGCCCTCGGTCTTCCCAAAAAGATTGGAGAAAAGTGGGTACTCAAAAATGGTGTGTCAATCTGCAGATAAATATAATCAGAATGTACAGACAATATCAGTACTTCCAGCAATACCAGCAAAGAGTGGCTGCACTTATTGGATCAGCTCGGGCTAAGCAACTTGTGAACCAAGCACTTGTTCTCATCACTGTTGGTGGCAACGACTTTGTTAACAACTACTACTTGGTGCCTTATTCCGCAAGATCCCGCCAATATGAGTTACCTGACTATGTCAAGTTTCTCATCTCTGAATACCGAAAACTTCTCCTGGTAATTAACTTTGCGAAGTATGCCTTGTTCTTGAACATCTGTTATTTGATCAGTTGTTTTCATTAATAAAATGTAACATAATACTAAATATCATGGATTAGTGATTATTTTTTTCCATTTTTCGACTAGTCAGATATCTATCGCCATGTGAAATTGTGTGAATGTTATTATTTAAAAAGTTTTCATTCCAGCAACTGTATGACCTCGGAGCGCGAAGGGTTTTGGTGACGGGAACGGGGCCGTTGGGCTGTGTTCCGGCGGAATTGGCCTTGAGAGGAGGGGCTAATGGGCAGTGCTCAACCGAGCTCCAACGAGCTGCTAACTTGTTCAACCCGCAGCTCATTCAGATGATTAAAGGACTCAACCAACAACTTGGTTCCGACATCTTTGTTGCCGTCAATACACAGCAAACGCACTATGATTTCATCAGTCACCCTGGAGCATTTGGTAATATTACAATTTACACATAAATAAATTTCAATATCCTCTCATTACAACATTAAATTACTTGATTTATTGAAAATACTATTTCTATGGCATCCGTAATATACATACAAATATACATGATGCAGTTAGTTACACGGGCTCGGTATAGAAGCACATAAATGTTGTACCGTCTATATGCATTAATTCACCGATCACAATACTGTTCTTTCAGTACAAAATCCAACCAATGCCTTATATGAACTTTTATGAAGCAATATATGTACACATATAATATGTCTCGCTGTGGCAATGTTTGTGGTCCCATCTATTCACAACTCCTTAATTGCATGGTGGCAGGAATATTAAAAACTTGTCATGAAAAGTAAAATTTGAGTCACACAAAGTTGGTCTTTTTAAAACTCATCTCCAAACCATGCCAACTATTTTCAGAATACGACACATACATTATTATATATATATATATATCTATATATATATATAAATATATATACTTTTTTTCTATCTCTCCAGAAAGACCGTCGTAACATAATAATTATCAAACATAACATCAACGTTAGAGAAATGTAACATCAAAAAATTTAATTAGTCATATAAAGATGGTTACTTCTCTCTAATATCAATGTTATGTTTAACGTGTTATTTTTGTTACGTTTTCATAATTATATATATATATATATTATGTTAGAAGGACCACCTATTAGAGTGAAAAAAAGCACTGTATATATATATTATATATATATATATATATAGATATACACACAAAAGTAACATTTGCATATAGAGTGTGGAAAATATATAGTAGTAACTTTTTTTTTTTTGGTATTGGGTTGAGCAGGATTTACAACATCAAAGATAGCTTGCTGTGGACAAGGACCATATAATGGATTGGGGCTGTGCACGGTGGCATCTAATCTGTGTCCAAACAGAGACGTTTATGCATTTTGGGACGCTTTTCATCCATCAGAGAGGGCTAATAGGATGATTGTTCAGCAAATAAATACAGGCTCTGAAAAGTACATGTACCCCATGAATCTCAGCACTATCATGGCCTTAGATTCCAGGATTTGATCATATTATATATATATATATATCACTACTCTGGAGGATTTCCGCTAGAAATTGTTATAAGTGCATGGCTTTAGGAGTAACGTGTGGCATGCACATTGATTAATTACATATATAAATTCACATATATATATATATATGTCAAATGTCAAAATGTTCATGTTTTTTTTTTTTTTTTTAATTATGTGTTGAAAATGTCTAGAACAAAGGTTCCTAATTATCCTATATTAGCTTGTAATTGGTTTGATCATTAATAATAACTACTATTTGCTTGGCTCCCTTTTAAGCTTTTTCATTTTTCTTTCTGATTACAAACATGTTCTCTAAGTACAACTAACCTTAACTGGAAGAGCAAGAGGAAAAAAAAAATCCATATGATGTTTATTACCAGGCTACCAGCACGCTTTTAGTCGGTGGAAATGTTCCGAATTATTTTGTCATGAAATGGTATCAAATCGGCCAGGAAGAGGGGGGAAAAAAGCAGCATTCAAGCTTTTTTTATTTAATTTTTAAAAAAAAAATTTATTATTGTTGATACTCTTGAGTACAAGGCTTTTTCCTTAAAAGAAAAACTTTACATTTCTAAAGTTAAATACTGTATTAAAACGTCCTTAATTTTTTGAGTTGGAGAGTATTAGCTAGCAAATTAGGGTAGAAAAAATCGAAATACACATGAAAACCATGGTCAATATAAATCTGTCAATTGCTTGAATTTACTTCTACATTTTTTCACAGTTATTTATTAAGACTCCCTTTTCGGTGAAACGACGTACACTTTCTTAATGACTACTGAATTGAAAACATTGAAAAAGTTCATTCGCTCAACTCCTCAACAGTCAATTTAACTCGTCCACCCGTATATCATTCCAGCCACAAAAGGGTGACAATGATCAATATTGCTGCCCTAAATATCTATTATTATTATTATTATTATTATTATTATTATTGTTATTATTATTATATTATTATTATTGTTTGAAGAGATGATATATTATTTCAATCTCACGTACGTACGTACGTACGCGTTTCCTTGCAATTTGGCACCATCTTAATGTATTAGATATAAAACACAAGTATCATGTGAGTATTAATATTTTTCCTACCGACCACAAAGAAAACACAACAACCAGTTGTCCTTTTCTGTTCTTCTCTAATTTAAATATGTATATATATATATATATATATATTATATATATATGTACGTATGTTATATATGTATATGGTAGATTTGAAGTCGTTGTCGTTTTCATGTCACATCATTTTCTATGTTACCGCTTTTTTGGGTGTTGTCGTTTCTCTAATCACGTTTCTTGTTTATTGTCGTTATTTAGCTTACTTCTTGTTTCACAACTCAAGTTAAGTATTTGAGTTGTGTATGTGAAATAAAAACACTTGAGCTGTGTATGTGAAATAAAAACTGTAATAAAAAAGATAAATTTAAACTTTTATGAGAGAAAATACTGTAATAATGTCATACATTTCTCACATTTTATCGTTTTTGTTTGTTGCCGATTCCATTCTTTTCCCCCGTTTTCCGATTTCATCTTATTTTCATTGTCGTTTACTACATGGTTGTCGTTTTCCCTATCTTCGTTTTATTTGGATGCCGTTTCTTTTCTATACCAGCGCCGTTTCCTAATGTGGCGTCGTAAATCTCTCGGGTCGAAGTCTTTTCTCATAATGAGAAACACAATTTTGGCAATGGCCTTTTTTGCAGTCAGATAGCAATCGTCTCAGTCTCAGTAATTGAAAGAAAATATTGCAGAAGATTCATCGGCAGATTTCACTGACTAAGCTCCAGCACTTGTTAATTCCAAAGAGTTATAAACGAATGCGATTACAAAGTGTGATGAGGAACATTTGGAAAAAGGGGGGAAAAAAAACTCTTTTTAGTTACATGATATATCTATACATTCTTCTTTATAATATAAACTATCCATATATATTTTGATAAGTTACAATATGCTTTTTTTAGTCCAGTTATTAAACGAGTATTATATGCAAGTGTATAAAAAGAAGTATAGCCAGTGACAGGGAATGAGTCCTTAGAAGATTTTATTTATATTTTAGAGGACGTTTGGTTTATATATTCAGAATCATGATTCAGAACTATTCTCGTTTTACGTGTCTTTTTTTATGAATCATGATTCAGAATCAGGAACAAATATAAGAAACAAACGTCTCCCATGTTTGCTATTTTATTTTCATACTTATATCACAATTTTTTGATGTTTTAATTTATTTTAGAGAAATTTACCATTTCTTACATGTATGTTTAGTTCGTCAAAAAGTAAACTTTACATTTTATATGTTCTCAAAATCGTCTTCCATGATTTCAAATTGATGTTAACTTTGTACTTTCTATAGGTGAACATTTGATTTTGGCAAGCAAATTAATTGACAAATTTACTCTTTGTAGTTTATTGATAAACTTATAATCAACAATAATTGATAAATCTACCCTTTACAGCTTAGCTTAAAATTCAATTGTATTGATTATATGCTTAAATATATATATATATATATATATATTACAATAGTAAATTTGTAAATTTAGATAAAAGTTACAAATTTAACATAAAAGTTACAAACTTAACAAGAATTTAAATTTCAGAAATAAAATCTTAAGAACATCTAAAATAGATGTTATAAATATAATAAATAACCCTTTACTTTATACATTAACAAAATTATATTACCTCCTTCTTTTCCCTTAAATTATAACTAGCCATCATAGATTTCCTTTCCCGCCACTCTCATTTTATTTCTGTGCACATTTGTCTGGCACATTAAATTGATAGATTTACTACACTCTTCTTCTCTTCAACTTTTATAAAAACAATTAGCACATTAAATTGATATATTTACGTTTTATTGAGTAGAAGTTACTAAAATTGCAGTGGTTGCAGGTTAATTCATATTTAGTTTATTGATAATTTTATATCTACCTCTAAAATAAATTAAATAATTAATGTTCAGAGTTTAAATCCTCACTTTATCATCTCAAGCCAAGAAAATAGATTACAAATGAACAATATCAATTTTCTTTTGTATTGCACGCAATTAAAATAATTGAAATTTTATCCATAATACGTTACTTTTTTCAATTTAAATTGTACATACTTGTGCAAATTGGAATGAGATTGATCTATATCCGTTACGGACAAAAAGGTATTAAAGTTTGTGTAAAATAGATTTTGTTTTTGGATTTCATTGCGTATCCTGTAGTGTCAGATGATGAAATTAATATGATTGCTAGACTTTTACAGAGTAAGGTTTTTCCGGATTCTGTTTGCAATTCTCTGTATATTTTTATGTGCCTCCTTTATTAAGAAGAGAGAATCCAATTTGCTAGATTACAACTTATAGTTTCTTGTATCCTATACTTTTCTTAAGTAATCAGATAATCTGTCTTATCTCTAGTTTCATCAAAGACAATCAAGCAATATCCACGCCTTCTTAAATCTGTGGGTACTTTAAGGATTCTGTTATGGCCTTTTACTGCTTATATATATATATATATATATATATATGTTGAGGTAAACCTAGCTTAAGAGCATTGTATTCACCTATAGCAAGTGGTAAAGATATTTCAAAACTTATATTAATTTTCATTTTAATTTTTTGTTCTTTTTGACATTGTATCCTAGTGTTTGGTTAATACAATAATTTGTAACATGTTTTTGTTGTGACTACACAAGAATTAATCAAAACAGATTAACGAGGAAAAAAGAAAAAGATGGTGCTCGGAGAGGAAATTGTAACTGGCCGTGGCTCATCAACTACTGTTGCTGATCATATTGATGGAGCGAAAGATGACTCATCAACTACCGTTGAAGCTGAAGAAATCAGCGAGTCAACTATTACTGATCATGGCGATGATGAGGATCAAAAGAAGTTGTCTGTGCTCATTGTGGATGACAGCTCTTTAATTCGACTACTGCACATGACGATGGTGACAAGAGCGGGCATGGAAGCACAACTTGCTGAAGATGGAAAGAAAGCTGTTGATCTTCATCGCTCCAGGGCTTCTTTTGATCTCATTCTCATGGACATGGAAATGCCTGTCATGAACGGTGTAGAGGTACTAATTATTCATGTTTTTTTTTTTTTCAAATATTGAACAATCTATATATATATATATATATATATGCATTTGTCAGTGACAATAATAGGAAAAAAACAATTAATTATCTTGTTCATTTAAGAAAGGTATAGAAGGGGCAAATTTAAAGGGAGATACATGCACGTACGCACCCATGAATATTAAAAAATGGCGTGGCTATAATGTAGATCAAAATTATGTAACTACTATTTATTTAATATATACTTAGGAAAATTTGCGCTTATATACCCTGAATTATATTTTATATATTATAAGTTAAACCCTAAATTTTATGTTTAGGACCCAAAATTTGAAGATTCTTGACAGTGTATAGTTCAGTCGATATTGGACGCCAATTAATAAATGAAAAAAATCAGGGTCCCAAATATTATAATATAAGAGTATTTTAGGTTTCATTTTGTGCAAAATTGTCGTGTATAACTTTGTCCATCGATTAACATTCATTTTGAAATATAGATTTCTAAAATTAGGGTTAGATCAGCTGAAACTAAAAGTTTAGAGTTCAAGTTAATTGAGAAAGCTCTTATACTCATGGAGATATTGATTGTTTATTTTGTTTAATTATATGGTGTAGGCAACAAGGGAACTGCGAGCCATGGGCGTTGAGACCATGATTGTGGGGGTCACTTCAAATTCGGAGGGTCCTGAACGACAAGCTTTTGTTGAAGCTGGTCTGAATGACTGCTACACCAAGCCCCTCAACGACGACAAGGTTGCTGCTCTCGTCCAAGCCATCAAAGAAACCAATATTCAGAAGACCATATGAGTGAGGATGGGAGAGAGAGAGAGAGAGAGAGAGAGAGAGAGAGAGAGAGAGAGAGAGAGAGAGAGAGAGAGAGAGAGAGAGGAGCATGTGTCGTTTTTGAAGCTTTCTATCATTCGAAGTCATGATATGTGAGAGCTTCAAAGCACATACATACAGCTAGAGACGAATAATGTGGACCTTTCTGATTGTTTCTAATAAGAGCTAAATAATAAAATAAAGGTTTCGATATAATATATTTTGTTTTAATTTCTGCTTTATATTTTTTCTTTTAAATTTTAAAATTATGGATGTGTTTGGAACTCGTTTTAAAATAATTTTATTTTTTATATGAAAATAAAAATGAAAACGCTTTCAATCTCAGACATAAATTATTTTTGAAAATGTGTTTGGTAGTTTTATCAATAGATTATTTTCAGTATAAAAAAATCCATTAATGTTTCTCTCTCTCTCTGCTCGAGAGAGGAGAAAACGAAAATAAAAAATAAAAAACGACTAAAACTCATTTTTTATTTCTCTCCCATTTTACACTAAACTAAAAAATCGTTTTCATTTTCATTTTTTTATCTTTAATTATACTAAACGCTATTTTGAAATCGTTTTTATTTTTTTTTCTCAAAAAATGTGAAAAAAAAAGAACAATTCCAAACACCGCACATATATCAAACTCATGAATCTGTAGGGCATGAGCTTTGTCATATTCAGGTTCTTATAAAAAACGATATATCTTTGTTCGCTTGATAAGCTTAATAATGAACATCAAACTTCCAAACATGTGGTGGTTTCTGCGCTCCAAACGACAGTAGACTTCTACGAGTGAAGACATGTCGTTTGAACTGGATAGGGGCGGAGGAAGAGGAGAGGAGGGACCCAGTCCACCTTATATCTATCAAACAGACTCTTTTCTTCTGCCTTCAATGAAGAGAAACGACGTGTAGCCTTTCACCACAACAATTTGTTTTCATGCCAATTATCCAACGTTTTTATTACTAATAATTGAAATTACTAAAATTTGTCCACTTAAAAAAAAGTAAAATTTTAGATTTAAAGCTACCTATATTCTTTTGGCTAGTTTTAAAAGAGCAGCAAACGTCTAAAGATGTTTCTACAGAAAACGACATGTGGTTTATCACTACACGTCCACTGCCAATTTTATGATGCCGATGATCTGTCGTTTGTCTTATTAATCGAGTGCAAAATCCTTTGAATTAAAAACCATGTCGCTTATTTGCTCCATAAATTTCAAAGAACAGAAAACTTCCAAGCATGTCGTTTCTACGACCTAAACGGCATTAGACTTCTTAGAATTGTCGAAGCGTCATTTTTACATTAATGACAACAAGATTTCAGAATTAAACGCCGAAAACAGGAAATTTTTCTACAGTAAACTGATATGTCGTTGTTTACTCCTTTTCTTTTTTCTTTTTTTTGGTTGGCTACTGTATGTCTTTGTTTACTTGAACGACAGCAGAATTTAAGCAGGAAAAACGACATACCTTTTTGCTTAAACGACTGTGAAGTTTTCACGCGTAAAAATTAATTTATCAAACGTATGTCATCATTGACAAGCAAATATTTTCCCCCGTTCAAAACCAGAAAACAAAAAAATAAAAGGTTATTGGCACAAATAGTTCATAATTTATTTAATAAATAAAAGTTTAATTTTTAACCCTTTTTTTTTTTATAAATCGACCACTAATTTTTTAAAATACGTGCAATCTGATTTTTTTATCAACATCCGTCTAAAAGTTAATGTCCAATGCACGTAACCACCACCTACGTGACTCAAATTCTTAGAGTGTATATATGTAAAAACACTTGTAGCTCGAATTGGAGCTGATTTTATGTTTAAAAATTCTTGGGTTTGTGAAATTTTTGCTTTGATTTAGGAGCTGCAAGTGCTGGAATGGAAAAAAAAACCCATTGTGTGATTGTAACATACCAGTGTCGATGAAGGAGATTTCACAGATCTTGGTGGGTCTCACTGATCTGGAGTAGATCCTTACAGCCACAAACCCGTCACCAATTTTTTCGATGGAGATCGTCGAGATCTGAAGCATTGTTGAAAAAATCGTCGCATGCTCCTCTCCGCGATACTGATCAAATGGATATACACGCTATCCTTTGGTGATCGACTTCTCCTCTGAGTGGCTGGGGAGCTCGCCTTCATCACTCAAGTCTCTACCAGATCTATACCCTATTAAACTGCCATTGTCTTTTTCATTTTTTTTTTGGTTTTCTTCTGTTTTGGTTTATGTCTTCACATGTTTGACAATTTTGATTTATTTGTTCTTCAATCTGATCATTATATGCAAAATGAATGAGGAGATGAAAGTTGGGATTGCAAAATGATTTATTTCTTCTCAAATTTATTTTTTTTTTTCTTCTGCAAATTTTGTCTTTGCCTTACATTACTGAAAAATCTGACTACTTTTCTTGTTCAATTGATTCCCAAACCGTCAGCATGATACTATAGAACTATTGTTCTAATTATTTTATTTTTGGACTATACGTGCCAATAACCCGAAAATAATATTTATTTCCTTTTGAAAAACCGAAAATAAAAAAGGGAAATTTCTTAAACCCACTCAAAACGGTCAAAACCCCGTTCCCGCGACTCAAATACCAAACACCAGACATCTTATCCACTCCGCCAAATCCAATGTCCACCCTCCTCCTCAGCACCCACGCCTTCACCTCCCGCCTCACCAACCTCCCCTTCCTTTCCAAACCCCAAAACCACGCCGTCCTCGTCGTCCGGGCGGCGACCTTGGCGCCGGAGAAGCGAACTCGTCGGAAGCGGCGGCAGACAAAGGACGATGACTCCGCCGCCGAGAAGGGCCTCCGCTTCACCTTCATGGAGGAGCTCATGGAACGCGCCAGGAACCGCGACGCCGCGGGCGTCTCCGACGTCATCTACGACATGGTCGCCGCCGGCCTCACCCCCGGCCCTCGCTCCTTCCACGGTCTCATCGTCGCTCACGCCCTCAGCGGCGACGCCGAGGCCGCGGTAATGCCGTCGTTTTCTCTGTTTCGATCTTCATGCAAAAATGGAAACTTGAGGGATAATTTTGCTGATTTTGTAGTGAAATTGTAGATGCAATCGCTGAGGCGGGAGCTGAGCGCCGGTCTCCGGCCTCTCCAGGAAACGTTCGTCGCGCTGATTCGAATGTTTGGCTCGAAAGGTCGCGCTACGAAGGGAATGGAAATCCTCGCTGCGATGGAGAAATTAAACTACGACATTCGCGGGGCTTGGCTTATTCTCGTCGGTACATTGCGATTCCGATGCTCGTTTTGGGTTCTAATCAGTAACCAATCTGTTTCTAGGGCTTGTTTCGGTTACGTTGTTTCTGGTTCTTTTGACAGAGGAGCTGGTTCGAAGCAATCATCTGGAGGATGCGAACAAGGTATTCTTGAGAGGCGCCAAAGGCGGATTGAGAGCTACTGATGAGGTCTATGACCTTATGATTGTGGAAGATTGCAAAGCAGGAGACCATTCTAATGCCCTAGAAATCGCCTATGAAATGGAGGCAGCCGGGCGAATGGCGACCACTTTCCATTTCAATTGGCTTCTTAGTGTTCAGGTGATTTGTTTCTCCAGTTTGTTTGAAATTCTTATCTGAATTACTAGAGATTCTGGGGCTAGACTGATATATCTATTTTGAATAATTTAGGCTACTTGTGGAATTCCTGAAATAGCTTTTTCGACGTTTGAGAACATGCAATATGGAGAAGGTTCACACTTTCCTCTCTGTTGGTGATTGTGTTATATGTGTGTTTAGTTGTTCCCTATTACGTTTAGGGCTGATTAGAGTTTTCTTGTTTCTACAATGTAAAAACCTGTACTGTCCTTAATGGAATGCTCTGGAACTTTTTAGGAACTTTTGCTCTCCATGTTTATACTCGCATTCTCTTTTATGTTCTAGAATTCATGAAACCTGATACGGAGACATATAATTGGGTGATCCAAGCTTACACCAGGGCTGAGTCTTATGACAGGTGATTTCTGTAAGAGATCAACGGAATTGTATATTTAGTAGTGCTCACAGAGCTCCCTGTTAAAAATAGATTATTAGAAAGTTTATCTTGGCGTTATGATATGATGCAGAGTGCAAGACGTTGCTGAATTACTTGGCATTATGGTTGAAGACCACAAACGTTTGCAGCCTAACATGAAGACCCATGCGTAAGCATCTTTTTCTATTTTTATTTTTATTTTTTTTGTCAAGTTTAGTTTTTGAAGTGTTTCTTTTAAGTATGATTTGTACTGTCATATTGTTTCTTGTTAAAATTCTTGGTTTATTATTTGGTGTTCTTTAACTATCATGTCAGTGTAATTGGATAGAACTGATTTTGTCATCCATACGCATGCATGCTATGAATTGAATATGGCTAGTAATGATGTAAGTATGCCAAGAACTCTTTTAACGAAGTAAAGGGCATATGCTGTATGCATAAAGTTGTTAAGTTATGTATAAGGAAGAAAACCAATAGAACAGAATTAAATAGGAAGAAGTGTTTTTCTTTTGGACCTTTAGTGTTAACTTTCAGTTAATTGTGAAGTGTCTATTCAGGTTTCACGATTTGCAAAGCTCCAAATTGCCAAACTCAAAATAGTTTGAAGATATGTGATGCAGATTATATCAAATGTTCTTGATTTTTCTTTTTTGTCATTATATTCTTGTCACCATATGGCTTCGTGAGTCATATTGTTAAAACGTAAAACACACTTGTCACTAATGACAAGCAATTCCTTGTTCAGGTTGCTAGTGGAGTGCTTTACCAAGTATTGTGTAATAGGAGAAGCTATACGGCATTTTCGTGCCCTTAGAAACTTTGAAGGGGGAACGATTGTTTTACACAATGAAGGAAACTTTGGAGACCCTCTTTCTCTGTATCTTCGTGCTTTATGTCGAGAAGGTATTCATTTCTTTTTCTTATTAATGTTTTCTCCGTCTAATTTACATTGCCCTCATTTTTTTTACTGCAATTTTTTATTTTTTCCTTTTTGGATCACTGTAATTAGTTAAACTATTAGTTATGGTTTCCTGGTACTTTCTTATGGTTAAGCTTAAGTAAATTGCATCTGAGATTAAGTACGTTCGAGTTCAGGAAGAATTGTTGAGTTGCTAGAAGCTTTAGAAGCTATGGTCAAAGATAACCAACCAATTCCACCACGAGCCATGCTCTTGAGTAAAAAGTACCGAACCCTAGTAAGCTCATGGATTGAACCTCTGCAAGACGAAGCTGAGCTCGGATATGAGATTGATTACATTGCCAGGTGTGCACATAAATTATTTTCCTGTAGCTGTTGCAAATCTTCTTTATGTTTGTTGCTTGAAATGATTTTCTATTTTGTATGGGTTCCAGTCACACTCAATGACTTTTAACCTAGTATTTTTCTTCAAATTTCTCAAAATACTCAACTCCTAATTGTTTGTCATTTTTACTCTGAATGTTAGAGATTCCATACTTCCATCTTATTCTTTGAAATTGCTTCCAATTATTCCTTTCCTTGATAAATCGTGTGCTAATATTATGTAATTTTCTTTCTTTTGACATTAATCAGATACATTGCAGAGGGTGGGCTTACTGGTGAACGCAAAAGGTGGGTGCCTCGGAGAGGAAAAACTCCTCTAGATCCTGATGCCGCTGGGTTTATATATTCAAACCCTATGGAAACCTCATTCAAACAAAGATGTCTTGAGGATTGGAAAACGTACAACAGAAAACTTTTAAGAACTTTACGAAATGAAGGAATAGCAGTTCTAGGAGATGCATCTGAATCAGATTACATTAGAGTAGAGGAAAGATTATTGAAAATTGTAAGGGGTCCTGAACAGAATGTTTTAAAGCCCAAAGCTGCTAGTAAAATGATAGTATCTGAACTAAAGGAAGAGCTAGAAGCACAAGGTCTGCCAACTGATGGCACTAGAAATGTTCTTTACCAGCGTGTCCAGAAAGCAAGGAGAATAAACCGCTCTCGTGGTAGGCCCCTTTGGATTCCTCCTGTGGAGGAGGAGGAAGAAGAGGTAGATCGTTGATTTTGTTAGTGTAATCTATGCCATTTTAATTTTTCTTTAGTAACCTATAATTTCATTCAATTTTATTGGGCGTGGCTTCAAGTAGGGGGTCTCACTATGTTGGCCTTCTACATTAGGATAGAATTCTTTGGCAAGCACGTCTTTATGTTGTGTTTTGGCATCTCTAGCAATGTTTACTGTGTTGGTTGCACCTCAAGTTTCCCATTCTATTATTAATCGGCTCTGAAACTGATTCATCTAAAAGGTTGATGAAGATCTGGATGAACTAATTTCACGGATTAAGCTGCAAGAAGGAAATACAGAGTTTTGGAAACGCCGCTTCCTTGGAGAAGGCTTGAATGGTGATAATGGAAATTCCACAAGCATGGGCAGAGCAGAATTTGCAGATGTTGATGTTGATGCTGATATTGTGGAAGATAGTGCAAAAGAGGTTGAGGACGATGAGGCTGATGCTGATGATAATGATGAGGAAGAAGAAGAGGAGGAGGAGGTAGAGGAGGTAGACGTGGTGGAACAAACTGAGAGCCAAGATGCAGAAAGGGTCAAGGAAAAGCAAGTTGCAGCTAAGAAGCCTCTTCAAATGATCGGAGTGCAGTTATTGAAGGATTCTGATGAAACAACTCCTTCATCTAAGAAGTCAAGGAGAAGAGCCTCTCGAGTTGTTGAGGTACAGCATTTGGTTGATTATTGAACTGTCAAATTTTGTTTATGTCAATTTAGAGAGTTACATCAGCCAATATATGTCTACATTTTGCAAATGGGGATTTAGGATGATGCCGACGACGACTGGTTTCCGGAAGATATATTTGAGGCATTTAAGGAGCTGAGGAAAAGGAAGGTGTTTGATGTTGATGATATGTATACACTAGCCGATGCTTGGGGTTGGACATGGGAGAAAGATCTGGATAACAGACCTCCTCGGAGATGGTCACAAGAATGGGAAGTAGAGTTGGCAATTAAAGTAATGCTAAAGGTAGTTTACTAACCTATTATTTTGCCGCCTCCACCTGCAAAGCTGTTCCTCTTTCTAATTAGGTTCTCTGTTGTCTCCCTTCATTTATACTGACAGTGATACTCGCAGATTATAGAATTGGGTGGAACACCCACAATCGGGGATTGTGCCATGATCCTGCGAGCGGCCATAAGGGCTCCTCTTCCATCAGCTTTCTTGAAGATCTTGCAGACAACACACAGTCTAGGTTATGTATTTGGAAGGTAAGATGATCATCTTTCCTTGATCTGAAAGACTGGTCATGTATTCAATATGCTTCGAACTTGCACGCTTATTTGCAGCATTTCTACTTTGCCTGTGAAATCATATATGCCCCAAGTCACTATATCGAGGTTTTTGTATCTGTAACAAGTCTTATACGTTCTCATATGCTGCAGTCCCCTCTACGATGAAATCATCTCCCTATGCCTTGATCTTGGGGAACTGGATGCAGCCATTGCAATAGTTGCAGATTTGGAGACCACTAGTATCGCAGTCCCCGATGAGACCTTGGACAGGGTTATTGCTGCAAGGCAGATGAATGAGAGTTCTGCTGGTGATTCATCACCACCAATAGTCGACTAGTTTTGTTATTCTTTGCGTTGCTATGGCATTCTGATCGCGGAATCAAATCTTTGCCAAGTGGTTCTGCTGCTATATAGCAGTACTCATCGTTGACGATCTGGGGGATGAAATCAGTTAGTGCAGGTGTAAATTAATGAGGCAATAGCATTATAAACTTATTTTAGACTTTACCCCAGTCTATCATCTGTCTAGTGTTGAAATATAATCTTAGCGAATCATTTTTTATATCGGGTCACTTTTGTATTTAGAACATGGCATTATTCCATTTGCCTTTTGCCCCTTTTTTTTCCTTTTTTTTTTTTTGGTAATGTAAGAATGAGATGAAATAATATGCTAAATTATATTCAACACGGACGACGTGTCGTTTGTATAAAAACTGCAAAATTTAAAGATAAACGACACTAACTAAATCCGGTACGTCGTTTCTGCGCAAACGACACTATCTGGACGACACGTGTTTCCAGAAATACTACATGTCATCCAATCACTTATACGACATCAATTTTTTAAGCTTAGAACAGCATGTCGTTTCTCTTCCAACAAGTATCGATCAGTTGCGTCATAATCTCCATTCTTCGAGGGACAAAAAAAGTAGGTACTGAAATTGTCTTGTTGATAGGCAAAAGAGACGTGTCGTTGTACTAAGAACCACCCACTTAATAGGACCACATCAGCAGCGTTGTTGCTTGAAAATGCTGCTATTTGGTTATCTGAATTCCAAGCGTACCAGCATACTATTAAACCAGAAATGTCAAGTTCAAGCGCTACGGATCTGCGGTGGAAGCCTCCCTTGGGCTCTGAACTGAAGCTTAATGTAGACGCCTCTGTTCTACCACAGTTCGAGATTCCACGGGATTTGTGTTAGGAGTTTTTGCAAAGAAGATGGCGCGCTAGTTTATTTGGTTTATAAATTCAAAATTATAATTTAAAATTATTTTTATTTTATGTGTATTATTTATGAGAAAAAAACACTATAAAAAATTATAAATTATAATTTAAAATAAGGACGAATACAGAAAATAAACACTCCACTGAATGTTTGGCTATTCGTGAGGGTCTTCTTTTTTGCTTTTAACTGTGGCTTCCGCATTTCCATCACAGAAAGTGATTCCTCTTCAGTTGTTAAACATGTTCAAGATCCAGACTTGTTGGCTGCGGAAGAGCCTATCTTAGCCGATATACGGCTGTTGCTAAGGGAAGCTGGTGGTGGTATATGCAGCTATGTTAATGGTCATGGTAACAAAGCGGCCCGTACACTAGCAAAATATGCTTTTTCTTTACAAGTTGATCAATGTTGGTCGGAAGATTTTCCAGAATGTGTTGAGAAAATTGTAGGCACCGAAATAGATCTTGGCTTAGTTTGATAGTACTGTAGATTTTGAAAAAATTATTTTTAACTGTGTTGAGGAAGAAACAACTGTTATAAAAATTAGCGGAGTGTTTAGTAAACTATAATTATAGTAGCTGTGTTGGTTATAAAATCAGTATAATAATGTTTAGTAAATTATGATGTTGAATTGCTGTGAATAGTTAAAATTACGATTATGTTATATTATACTATAATATAATATATATAATTACATTATAATATATATTTATTATTATATTTAATATAATAAAAAAACTATTATTATATAATATATTATATAATTATGATATAGAATATAATAATATTATTAAAATAATAACTAAAATAATTAAACAGAACAATTATA